CTCGAACCTGAGGCTGAACGCCTCGAAGTCTTGGAAGCCGCCGAGGATCCTAACTCAGCTATGGCCCGGTCGCTTGGCATTCGTGAAGCTGCTCGAGTCGCACAGGTCCGGATGGACACAGATAGCAGAGTGAGACGAGCTCTTCTACACCAAAGTACGCCCACGAGAGGCCCATATCCTGTGGGATCGTACTTTTACAGACAGCAAGCTCCTCCTGGAACTGGTCGCGTGTACAAGTGGCACGGCCCGGCAAGGGTCATCGGAGTGGAGCTTCGCAATCAGCGAAGGCTTGAGGACTCTGACCTTCCGACTGATGGAGGTCANNCTACGGCAACTCTGTGGTCCTCGTTACTGGCGAGCAGCTGCGCTTCGCAAGTGAAGACGAGCTTCTGGCTGCCCACTCGGTTCCCCAGGAGATTCTTGCTCCTCCTTATGCCCGCGGCGCACGTGGCTATGTGGACCTACGTGCTCAACCTCTCGCACCTCTTCCAGACGAAGATCGTGAAGCACGACCTTCGCAAAGGCCCCGGGTGAGTGGGTCTGCGGCTTCTGTTCCAACCTCAGCTCTTGTCCCCGGCACTGACATTCCTGTCGTTCATGGACTTCTGCCACCTTTACCTGAAGGAGGTGACGGCGGTCTACTTGATGAAGTGGGCCAACAGCAAGTCCCTCAAGAACCACCGCAGATTCCAAGGACGGGCGAGGGGGCATCCATAGAAGTTGGGCCAGGCCAACAGCAAGTTCCTCAAGAACCAGCGCAGATTCCAAGGACGGGCGAGGGGGCATCCATAGATAGACAGCATTCGCACATGTCGACAGAGCCTGAGCCACATCCGACACCGGTGTCTGGACCAGCTATACCTCATGTACCACCAGCGCTGGAGGCACAGCTACAGCCTAGCCATGATTCACACCATGCGCCTCAAGCACAGTCATCTCAGAGCATCTTTCGTGACCCAAATCGGCTTGATGGATATGCTCCTGTTCGTCCCTCTTCACGAGCGGCTTCTAGCACTGAGACGCCGTACTTCTTCGAGGACCTCTTTTGGGACATCGAGCCTTTGACACAGACGGTCCGAGAGAGTCGACTTCGCAGAATGGTTGACGGCATCGAGGAGTACGAGATCGACTCTGATGACGAGGACGACTCGGACTTTGCG